ACAAGTAACGCTCCAGTGCATGTTTTCCTCCAGCAGTAAAATTTGGCTGGTCACTCCTGTGCCCCAGGGGCCACTCGTGGCTCACATTGCATGGTGGGCTTGACCCTCAGCCACGACGCTGGCTACCACTGTGGCTAAGACCCAGGTTGGGTAACATCCCAGTATGACCAGCCTTGCAAAGGGCTGCGAAACCAGAACAATGGGAAGTGATGCCAAGGCGGTATCGCCCAGGGAGTCTTGTGCTCCAGCCCTTGCTGGCACCCAGCCCACTGCTGCACCCTCCACGGTGGCTGGAGGAGGACCATGCTCCTCCTCTTCTTCCTCCCCGTAGCCAGGACCCTAAGGGCACCTCTTTCAGCCACCAGTACCCCCAAGGGTGGCTGTGCAGAAGTGGGCAGTGGGGGGATCCCAGCACTGCAGTGTGGAGAGGCAGCCGGGGCGAGGTGGGAGATGTTGCGATGCCAACCAGAGCCAACCCCAAAAGGCGGCTGTGCCCTTGGCTGGATGTTTTGGCAGGGTTTGGTGTCAGCGGCGTGACAAATAAGCTGGTGGGAAGGAGGGCTGTGGTGGGCAGCTGTGCCCGGCTGCACCGTGATATGCTTCCTCTTCTCAGAGAAGCTCATGGGGGAACGGAGAAAAACCAACAGTTTTTGGATGAAATGCATGCTGGGCTGTGCCTGAATAACCTCGTCATGTGAACCAATGGGCAGCTGAAACCAGGCAGCAAACCCAGTCAGAACAGAAGTGGGTTAAGTCCATAAATCAGAGTTTAAGTCCATAAATTAGAGTCCATAAATCAGAGTTTGGGATCCTCAGCCTGGGAACCTGGAGTTTCGGCATTGATGTGGGGCCGTGTTGTCACCGGTGCTGTGCCTGGGGTGGGGGGAGCAGCAAGCCACAGGCAGCAAGCCCAGATTTCCCTCCTCTCTGAGGACGTTCGGCTGAGCTCTCTCCTGTGTCCCTTCCAGGTGGTGTGAGGAACACGAAAGCCGGTCGCTTCCCCTGGCCGACTGTGGTAGCCATCCTCCTCCTCTTCTGCAGTTTTCTAATAGCGTTGGGCATCAGGAAATGGTGTCAGTACCAGAAGGAGATGTAAGTATCAGGGAGCGGATGCGCAGGGGCGGGAGGGGTGGCACGGAGGACAGCACAAACCCTAACCCAGCTGTTTGGATTTATACATTTTCATTTGAGACTACCCATCGTCCACGAGGCCTTTAAGTATTTGGATCGTCAATGCCATTTTTTTTTCATGCAGCAGTACGAAATGTGGAGTGTTCTCAGTCCTTTCATCTGTTCTGTGGGTTATCTATAAAATAAACTTTAAAAAAAGAGCTGCGGTACAGCTTCAGGGTGCGAGGGAAGAATACAAGTCAATTTTTTTTCCCCAAAGCCCCCCCACTTCTATTAGCCTCCCTGCCACTTTCTTTTGCTCTCTCATTTTGCGTGGTTACTTGAGGACATATTTTAATGAAATTGTACTTCTAGGGCAACTCTATTTGAGTTGTGAATAATATATGTGAAAGTAGGCTACCTGAAACTTAATCCCAGTCAAAGAAGCATTGAGTTTGTAGTTATTACCAAAGTTTAATTCCTTACTAAAGCACCCGGAGATCTACTGACGCAAGCAGTATCTAAGAGCCAATTATTTTTAATCTTACTAAAATGTTTGAAAAATCCTGGTGATAATGAACCATTTGTGGTTCCAGAAAACCCTTTTGAAACATGACTTTGAATCTTGTATACTGAAGATAAAATTTAGATCAATTTTTTTCACTGATTTGGGACTAGACCTTTCTTTATCTTGGCCTACAAACTGACCAAAAAAAAAAGAAGTTATGAGTCTTTAAATATACCTTCAGAGAGCAGTGTGAGCAAAAGATCTCTGCAAGGGTTTTGAATGGTTCACCAGGACCTTGATCTGTTCTTTTAAAGCATGAATAAAGTAAAATTGTGAGGTGGGAGCTGAGAAAGCCAAGTGAATCGCAGGTGGTGCGCTGGGGCCATAGAACAGAAACGGGGAAGTCGCAGTATGTTAAGAGCAATGACTCGGTGTCCACCTACCTCCTCCTGTGAATGTTTTACAACAGTCTTTTATGTGGATTTTGGGTGACAGCACGTTTTTTCTCTTCTATTTCAGTATGAACAGACCTCCATCTTTCAAGCCACCGCCACCTCCAATAAAGTACATCTCCATGGTGGAGTCTGACGGGACCCCCCCATCCTGCCATGAACTGGAGAACCTGTAACATGGCCTACAGCCCTTGTGGAGTGCACAGAAGACTGACACAGTTAAAAGGCTCTGCCTTTAAAAGAGTGATTACAGGAGTTTGGTGTTAATGACCTGTATTAAAATTCAGAGCTCCTAAATGACATTAATGTTGGGAGCTGAGCACTCCTGAGGACACTTACTTCATCCCGTCTATCTCCATGTATGCATTACGTTAACACGGTTGTGAGTGTCACCGTGAGATTACACGTGCTTAATTTGAATTGGGCGATCAACTGGGAATTTGCTGTCTTGTTAATGGGAGCAGATTAACACATCACTCCGCCAGCCTGTCTGAAGAGTGTTGAAGCTTTTTGTTTTACTAAGCGTATAGAGACGACAGCTCTGCCGTATGGACACCACGATTACACAGGAAACATTGGCTTAACACAAGCTTTTTGATACCTACATGAGCCATTCTTACAATTAATATTTTTTACCATACAAATATTGATTAACATGACCCAGTACATAATTTCCTATCACTGTGAAACCAAACAAAAGATAATCAGCACCTTACACGGAGAGAAAATAGTCTGCATCTGTCATCATGGAATTGCGGGGAGGGGTTGGTGAAAGGGCATGGCGCGGGCCTGCTGGAAGACTTCACGAAGAAGACTCGGTTGTCGTTGGTGAAGTCGTAAGAAAAAGTCAGTTTTGAGTTCATGTACAACCTATCGACAAGAACTGAAGTGAATAAGGACCCCAAAAGATAATGGAAAATGCCAGTCCTTTTGGAAGTGCTGTGTCTTTGAAACACAATAACTCTTGAGTCTGCCTTTCTGAAGTTATATTTGTGGTACACGTGAAGAAAAAATGGAATACAATCACTTTATTCTCTTTTGGTCTTAATGAGCTGCTGTCATTTGCTCTCTTCACATTTTTCAAGACCTCAGGGGTAGTTTCCCAGGTGGCTAAAGCCTGTGGAAGGGACAGTCCAGCTTTCCCTTACCCTTCCCGGGCTGCGTGTTTCCTTGCATTGACACTAATGATTAAATGACCATGCGGAGGGTGGGATGAGCTCAGCAGCTGCAGAGCTCTCAGCCAGGTCAGCAGCTCTGCGATCGCTAATGCAAGGCCCAAGGGCTGCAGCAGGAGCACTGCTTTTGGCCGCACCGTGGTCTTATATTGCCTTCAGCCAGCCAAGAAACTGTCCTTCCATGCTTGTTTGAAAATATATTGTTACCACAGTGGTATCTCTGTAATTGCTGCAAATCAACTAAAATTCAATCTTGTCAAGCTTAAAATTGGTATTCTGATTTAGGAATGGGATTTTCTTTATTTACTGCTAAACACTGGTTGATGAGTATCAGGGTTCAGGGCACTGTGTTTCCCAGGACTTTAGATGAATGAACGACTTACTGGAAAGAATGATCTGACAGACCTTTTTAAAGTATTTTGTTGTATTATTTACCTTACAGCACAGGTAGTTCTAAATCCATCACTAAGGAAATATCTGTGCTGGACAGAAAGCACTTTCCTTCCTACAAAACTATACAGACTTTGCATGCACAGAAGGCTCAATATTAATTTGAGCGTTTCTTGTCTGTAAGGGTTTGTAGAAGCAAAGCAGTTTAACTTTTACCATACCATCAGTCATTGCAAAAGGCAGCTTTTTGTTCTCAAAGAAAGAAATCGGGGGAAAAAAAGCTGGATAGCCATATTCCAAGGGATGTGGAGAGCCAGGACTTTCTTCGTCCTCATTAGATGAGGATGACTGTCTGTAGCATGCCTGTCAAAGAGGGGTTATTTTATCATCTCGGATATTTTAACTGCCGCGGTCGCTCCAGGTCAGAGATGTTTCCTCTGACATCGAGGTTTTCCCAAGGGCATCTCGAGAAGC